CTCCCGTGAAAATTTGTTTTAGTTATTTTGTTATTTATTATTAAAAAAGGTGACATGGCTGTTAGATTTTGAATAACTCGCTTTTTTGGTAGTCTTGATTTGGCCTCTTTCCATTTGTTTATTACTGTTTGCTCGTGTTGTAAGCTGGGCACCATCTTACGTTAGTGTTAACACTCTTAGTATTGTAAACACAAGTATTGTTAGCATTGTAAACATAAGTATTAAGTAATCAAATACATTGTTTGTAAGAATCTCAAAACACAATGATGCCAAATGGCTTTAAAATACAACTGAAACGGTAACCCGGAAATTTAGGCAGTCCCGAGCTTGCAGCGTTCCCTAGTGTAGAAAACACCATCCATTGGATAGCGCGTATTTTCAAGCTTTTTTATGTGTAAAAATCAGTCGGAACTGTCTTCGATACTTTAATGTTGGTGCGGTCTTTGAGCTGTATAAGAATAATGGGGCATTCGGTGAGAAAATATTTTTCTACTAAGAGGTTTCGACCTCAGCTCCGTTCCCCAACCTCAAGAGCCTTAATTACTCGCAAATAGAAATGTTCTCAGTAGCTAATTTTTTTTAATGAAATTAACTCGCGTTTCGAGGAAATTAAAAATAAGACTTAACAAGGACCCAATCTCCAACACGAAATTCAGAAAAGTTCAACTTCATGGGCCTGCATCTGTGAACATTTGAAAATAAAGGGCAAAAAATCTTTTTTTGATAAGCAAAAAAATTTATTTAATCATTTCTGCTCTGAAGTTCGAAACAATACAAAGTACAAACATTCAGCTCGCAGATGAGAAATATGACTTTGCTTTTCTTTGTAACAGCATCAATAATTGTTTCAATCTCGATTGAAAATAGTTTTGATAGTAATTCAGCGAACAAATGAATATTTTGATTTGGGCCACGTATGAAACAGTATTTTAAAGCGTCTACGAAGCAACAAATATTTATAACTATTTTTTTTCTTCATTTATAGTAGCCGCAACATCTGTTGTAAAGTTAGAAAAATAACAATGATAAAAAGATGGATTTGCACAAAATTTAGTGCAAATATTTATTATATCTCGTAAATATTTTCTTTTCTCGCAGCTCGCTTAGTTGTTGTGCTTACTTTACCTGCACAGAGAAACCTGTTAAGTTGACCACCTCTATAGGTTAATCACCTATCTAAGATTTTGATGATCAAGTACAAAACTGATAAAAACAATTTATTATCATTTTTATTAGATGACTTCTCCTATAAAACTATAAAATTGTAGTTCCACTTGTGATCAGTTTACGCTAGTTTCACTGTAGTAGCTGTAATAATTTTCTAAACTCCTTTTATAACACACAGTTTGAATGATAAGCATTACCGTGTTTATCATTCAAAGTAATTATCTTTCCTCGTTATTTTGAAATTTCTATAAATGTTTCGAAAGGTTTAAAATTGACATTTTTGTCGTTATTCAATTGACCTGATCCCTAAGTGTATGTTTCAGTGAACTTAGTCATTTTTATTCATAATTTCATTGTTATAGTTAATCATTTTTTGAAATTTCATAGTATATATTTTTTTTTAAAAGCAAAATCCATCTTTTACGTTTCATCGTCATCATTGGGGGGGGGGGGCCTTGGCTTTCTATGAAATATTTCTCCATGTCGTTCTCCTTGATGCCAATTCTGATTATCATTTGTTTTTGGTTATACGAATTTTATTTTAATATGATAACTATCCAAAACTTCATTTTTATTTGTTTCATTTATTTATTGCATATTTGGCAAAATGAGGTGAAAAATAATAACTGTAACCATAGCAATACATATTATAGCATATTTCATCATTTACAACGGGCAAATCTAAGCTCTAGGGAGATATCGAAATTTTCCTATTTGTTGTGCAACTGTGAATAGATGGTGATTTATAGAAGTAAAATGAATTCGCTAAAAAGCATTTAAAAGTACGATATTTTGTGGAAACTCATTGTTATTCACAACAACTATTTTCATTCAGCAGGTTTAATGACTCGGGATTTAATTTTTCTGAGTTTCAAAGCGAGTCACGTGATTTATTTTTCCCGAAGATAAACGATTAATAATGGTTGGAGATAAAAAAAAAAATTTCCCATCATACTCTCCGTGCATTTTTCCAGATATATCTTTGCGATTTCACGAGTCTACGATTTGAAACATAAACATGGAAAGATAACATGGATAGACTCCACCGACAAAACAAATCAAGAATCCAAAACTAAAGCGAGAGCGTTTACAACAACAACAAAAATGTCCTTTTTAAAAAAGGTAAGGAAACTGCAAACTTTCAGTATTATTTTATAATGGGAAGGGAAAAAATTAAAAAATATATAGATATTTCTGTAAGAAAAAAAAAGTAGCGCATATTTAAGATTTGTAGCGTTCGAAAAATAATAAGTAGCCCAAAAAGTAGCAAGTAGCGAAAATTCAATTTTCAGTAGCGGGGACTTTTAAAAGTAGCCCAATCCGCTACTTGTAGCCCAATCTGGCAACACTGTGTGGAAATCGCAGGTATTCGTCACATACGGCAACGCCCCCTATAGTTCGTTGCGAATAAATATAAAGACAAAAGCAAATTTCATTCAAATTGCACTCTTTAAAAAATATTTATATTTGGTATGCAATTTCAGGTTAGTAATATTAAATATAGTTTTCGAAGATTTCATTGCTGTGACAGTTGTCATTTGAAAACTATTAGATTGTTTATTTATACAAATTTGTTTAAATAAACAAGTTTGTATAAGTAAATCAGTTTTCGAATTCATCCATTTTATTTCTTTAATTTAAAAAATAGATTTTTGTATTAAATTTTATAATTTCTTTATTTCTTATCCATTTTATTTTTATTGCTCTTCTTATTATTTAAAATATATATGTGAATTTCTGGTTGAGCAAATTTGCGACCACTGTCATCTTTTACATTTCCTTTTGTTTGTCAGAGAGAATATTTGCAAAAATATGCCGTCTAAGCAAATCGCTCTTAGTCGATCGACATCTCAAGTGCGCAAGTTACATTTTCTGCGCAAAACCTATAAGACTCAGAAATATTAAATAATGAGGGTGAGTAAAAAAATGTACATGGAGTCTAACGCAACGAAAAAATTGACATTTAGTTTTTTATGAACTATTAGTAATTCCTATTAAAAATTACGCTAAGGGCAGCTTAACATCCCTCAGGAAAGACAAAAGACTAGAAATTTGAAGTACAAAAAGGGTGATAGTTTACGATCAAAGAACGAGTATTTTCTTTGTCATCTAGTAATCATTCATTCACCAACCAAGTAATCATCCATTTCAGTACAATTAGCATATTAAATATAAATTCTTACATAAAATTATAATAATATTAGATTTTATTAACAGAGTAAGCTTTGTTACTTCTGTTAAAACAATATATTATATACATACTTCAAAATGAAAAAGAAAAGACATTGATAAAAGTGAAGCTACCCGCGGGGTGAACAAGGAAAGCCTCCTTCAATACCAAAGAAAGGTAAATTAATATTTTTCATGTGATATGATATGGATGTAAACTCACAAAATATAATTTCACATGAAATATAATTGCAGATTTTAAGCTCAGTATGATTTGTTAGTTTCAAATTTCTTTATGCTAATTGTGATACGTAATATTTTGTAATAATTTTTATAAAAATAACTTATTTATTTATTTATCGTTAAGAAACATGATATTAATATTATCTGAAGGCATTTGTTTCAAACAGCATCTCTCAATCTTATTTTTATATCACTAAGGAAATGTTTAAGAACAAGAAAAAAAGAATTTAAATATTGAAAAGAAAATGTTAGTTTTTGCATTTTTGCTACCTATTGATTAAATGCATTTTGTGAAAAAATTCAAACAGAAATGGAAAAAAAAACTACACACATTTTTACAATTTAATATGCAGTTTATTTTGTAAACGGCATTTTAACGTGCACAAACAGCTTCACATGAGACATCAATAAAACAGTTAAAACTTGTGTACAATATTTCCAATCTATATTACAGTAAAATATTTGAAAAATTGACCATAATATTGGAAAAAATTACAATCATTTCAACCATTTTGTAAATTAGGTAATAAACATATTCTTATTTTTCATGTTTAATACACATAAAAAAGGTAAAAAAAATATGATTGCAGGAAGAAAAAAAGAGAAATTGGACGGTTATTCCTAAGTAACAATATAATTTTTTTTATAAATAATAACTAACACACAGACAGAAAAATTCTGGTAAAATTTCCGCATTGCATGGTAATAACATTTCTGATAAAAAGGTTCATAATTATGCTAATAAAAACCAAAAGAAACAGTAGTTAAACTAATTTTTTTGTAAATTTTCTGTTCATATGGTGCGGTTTACCGGTAACTAGTTGTTACGTATTTAGCAGAAATTACAAAGCTGAAAAGTAACTTATAACAAATAAATGGTTTTTATGCCATGCTCTAAGGTACAATGATACAATTACCAAATTTTATCACTTATTATAAAACCATATTTTATTGTTAGTTTGATCAAAATAAATACCAAAATGATTCGGTAAACTTTATCGAGAATTTTAGTGTTCTCATGAAGCGCGGAAAATTTTACCATATTCTGGTAGTTTCGACGATGCTTTTTTCTTAAAGTATGATTCATAAATAATTATAAATATAAATTCTGAAGATTCAACAGATTTCGATAAATATTTTTTATTTTTAATTTCGAATAAATTTGACTTAAGCGTTTATATTTTTTGGACATCATTCTTACCAAGTAATCTAAACATAGGAAGAGCAGCGATAACGGTATATCATTTATATCAATTAAAGCTTTCACTCATATCATCTCTGTATTTAAGTACAACTGATATTGTACAAATGATTTAAAAAAAAACTTTTTTTCTTCTGTAACAAGGGAAAAAGTAGTATAAAACTAACAAAAACTCTATAATAATTTTAATAAGAAAAGAGATCATTAAATATAAACACTAAACGTTATTCGATTTGCTTGCTTGTCTCTCTTATTTTATTCATTGTTTTCTTTTTTATTTATGCATTACTTCGTTTTAGTTAAGGTGATTAACGAATTTAATTTATACACTTTAGCATAATACGTTAGTATTTGCATTTGAGTTACACTTAACACTCGTAGTTTTAGACAAAAGTGTACAAACGTATTTTTTAATTTACAAATGCCCATCCGGTTGAGTATAGAAGATTCAAACATTATTTCATCACATTGAACACTGCAGTTAAGTTGAAGTATAAATTTTTTTAAAACCAGAATTATTTTTCGCTTGTAAAACAATCTCAGTTTTGTTTTAAGTGCTCTGAAGTTAAATTTTACATCGTAACATATCATTATTCAATAATTATATTATTACACTAACAATTGAGTGATATCACAAAGCGACAAAAACAGACAATATTTACAATCGGCAAAGTTAATAAACATCAAGAAACAAAGTTTACAACATTCAGTAATACTGTTTTAAATAACAATTTTTCGAGTGAAAAAAGTAAAATTCATACAGAATGTAATTATCAAATTATAAATTTCAGTTCAATAAATGACTTTATGAAAATTGTCATTTAAATTTGAATTAAAAATATATATCAGATATATATTTTTAAAGTCATCTTTAAAAAGAAAATAATAGAGTAAACAGATTATGGAACATCTCACGAATTAATATTTTCAAATTAACAAAACTAACAAAGTTGCTTTAATCTAGAATCAAAACAAATTGTTATCTGAATCTGAGATGCTCCACTTAGAAAGGTCGGTTTAAATGCATTAAAACCTGAAAACCTGAGTAAATAGATATGAACTGAAAGCTGATCATTAGAAAATCCAACAAGTTTTAGCAGGCAATCAAATAGAATGTTTTTACTTCCGCCTTCCTCAATAACTTTTGGGAAACTTCGATAGCGTTTCATTGTTTTTTTTCCTTGTTCAAATATCAATTAGTGAGCCCCAATGTGCTCCTACATAAATATATTTTTCTTAACGACTTTCAAAGCACAAAGTATGAGTTGCAATTATGAAGCACCCTGCATACAAAATTAATTTTTTTTTTTAAATTTCGTAACATATTTTATCTCTTTTTAATGAGGGAAATATACTTTGGTATTATTTAGTTCGTAAATAATTTCATCGATTTAAAAAGAGTATTAATTGAAATAATACACGATATCATGACACATAAATTAAACAATATTAAACATGATTTCGGCAACATTAAACATCAATTAACTACATTCAATAACACCGAATAACAACAACAATTAACAATAATTCGCATTAATAGAAACATCGAAACATTAATTTTCAACTTTTTTTAAATTACCAGCTTACATCGTCATTGGTAAATTATAAAGCTTCTGTTTTTAATTTTTTAAATCATACTTTTTGCATCTGAAAGAAAAATATGAGTTAAGAACATTAAAAAGCAAAATAACACGTCAAGATCAAAAAAACAGTTGAGGCTTAGAGGTGTTTTGAAAAATTGTATTTCACTTCTCATTGTGTTCAGGAACATTTAATCATGTTTTTATATTTTAAATCTTCTTTTTCTCAGCTGTGAGATTTCGACAGCATTTTCACTTCTCCACACATAGTTTTTTTTCTGAGTCTTAAATTGTATACATTTATATATTCATTAAATATCAACTATTCCAAAAGCTGGTGACTAAGAAACATCCCTTATATATTTTTACGACACAAAAAAATTTAAGAGTCAAAATTAGTATGGGGTCTTATTGTGACAGTTTTACTTGAACCAACAAACAACAAATGTTGTTTACGAGCTCCAAGCTAAAATATACACAAAAATGCACGAAGAATTCAAGGTCCTTCGCAATTTAATCTTAACCAATACTAAGCCTACAAATAAATGTCTTTTACGACTCTAAATTAAAAAATTATTTATAGAAAATGCACAAGAAGCACAAAATCTTACATCTTGGTACCATGGAACAGAAAAATTTAAATCATTAATATGCCAACAAATAACTGTCTTTTATGGCTCTAAATTAAAAAAAAAAAATTGAAAATGCACGAATTCCTTATTACGAAATAGTCTTATTTGAGCCAATAAAATGCATACAAAAAATGTCTTTTAAGGCCCTCAATTAACAAAATATTAAAAAGAATACACATAGAATAAAAGTTGGTTTAAACCCAATATAAAAAAAAAAAACAATCATTATATGCACTGAGAAAAAAGTATGGTCAGAGCTACCGGATTATGGAATTATGTTTTGTGCTCCATGGGAACACCAAAAAACTCGGTACTTCTTATAAAAATGCTTTGATAAAGATTTTAACAAAACTAACACTAAAATATGATTTTATAAAATATGATAAAATAAATTTTAATTTGGTAAAGTAAAATTTATTAATTTTATCATGATGCTTTAGACATATCATAAAAGCCATTTATTAGGTGAAATTTGCTTTTCAGTTCTGTATTTTCACTAAATGAGTGGTAATAAGAACTGTAATTTTGTAAATTAGAATATCTGAAAAATCGTTACCATCAGTAATATTAACCATTATTATAATTATTTTACTCGAAAAGTCATTACCATAAAGTACAGTAATTTTACCATAATTTTTTTCTGCGTGTGCGCTGACATGAGAATGACAGATAAAAAGTTTCCTTTAGCATTTATTGTAACAACTATTCTAGTTATTAAAATCATGTTCTTTAGAAACAATTTTACCAATTTGATAGGCATTTTTAGTTTTAAGTGAACGAGAGGAGAAAGAAAGTTGAAAAATGAGCACTTATATGAACAATATCTCATGAAGGAAATTTAAGAGATTTGTACTTATTGAAATCTTTATTTAAAATTAATTAAATTAAGGAATTACATTTGGTTTTTTTACAAAGAAGCTAACAATTTTTAGAAGAAAAAAAATAATGAAAAATGCATGTTGTCCTAAACTTACGCATCAAAATTTCATGTCATGGAACATTCTCATTTCCCTTAAATGCATCTAAATTGAAATAAATAATTAGCCTGTTACGATTTTACATAAAGCTACTGTATGCTCATTGAACATAGCACTTCTTTTTAAAAGAGTGCAACAAAATTAATACATTTTCTTGCAACATAAGAAATCAAAATCTTAAAAACAAAATTATTCTTTCAACGTGTTCTAAGGTACAACATGCTTTTAATTCCAGATGTACACATAATCAAAATTGTGGTTAATATAAATGAATAAACAGTATTTTTTCCTAAGAAAAACATTTGAAGATATTTTCTTACCTAAGTAAATCTGACTCAATTGAATATTTTTTTATTCCTCATGCTTGAATTTACATTTAGAAAATTTATATAAAATGAAAAAAAATGGAAGGAATAAAATTGAATTAAAACTTTTTCGCGCATCAAGATATGAAATTGTTATTCGATGCTTTGTATTCTAGTTTTGGTCATATCTCATCGATTGATTAAGATCATGATTAGAAAACAAAAATATTCAATTAGATTTTCAGAAATTGAAAAGACTTAATTCAAAGCACTTTCATTTTCATGAATCAACGTCAATGATGGTAATTAAGTGATGAGAGCTTTTATTTAAAAAACTGTGAGCACATAAATTGGTACATTCTGATTCAAGACACATTTTAAGTCATACATAAAAACCTAATCAGAGACAGAATCATTAAGTAAATAGTTTCAAATAATATTGCTACATTTTAAACAAGCTTGAGGCAAATCATCGATCTGATAATAATTGAAAATAACGAAATTGATGATAATTTTTATTACTGAAAAACCATGCTACCTCCAATGGTATCTTACGTGTTAATCCAGTTCCAAAGGGTGAAAGTCAAATATAAATACCAAATTATAAACAGGATCATCAGGAAAAAAACTGCAAATAATATTGTTACATTTTTAACGAGCTCAAGACAGATCATCATTTTGATAGCAGTTGATCTTGATCTTCTTTCTTCAATTGTAGAACTATTTTCTGAAATTTTATTTTTTTCATTAGAATTGGTTAAATAATTATAATATTTACACTGGTTGATATACATGAATTTTCTGATTTAGGAAAATTATTTCCTGACTAAAGAAATTTAAACCAATACTAACAATACAAGTGGAAACTTAAATTATTCGCAGTGCTACTCCATTTACTAATAACTTTAATTTTGTAAAGATAGGTTCCAATTGAGGCTGAGTTATTGTTTTTCTCCAACATCATTCAAAATTGTTATTGAAAGCTTTTCGTAATATGAAATGGCATTTTCTTAACAATGTAAATTTCGTAAAAAGGATGCATATATTTAAATGAATAATTACATGATAATGGCCTAACTTAAATCCGTAATATGTTTTTAAGCTAAAGATCTTAAATATTTAAATTCAGTGCTAGGAGCATAAAATGTATGAATATATATATATATATGTATATATATATATATATACT